AAGAGGGGATGCCACACAGTGGTAAACATGGCCTTGTCCCAACTTTTTTGAGATGTGTTGATGCCATGAAATTTAAAATCAACTTATTTTTCCCTTAAAATGATACATTTTTCTCAGTTTAAACATTTGATATGTCATCTGTTGTATTCTGAATAAAATATTGAAATTTTAAACTTCCACATCATTGCATTCTGTTTTTATTCACAATTTGTACAGTGTCCCAACTTTTGGAATCGGGTTTGTACCTAAATGTCCACCTATGTTCGCGCAAATCATCCGTGATCCAGCTTCACCTACAGATGAAGTGAGTATAAGGTTTTGTAATTATTCTTTGCAAATGGCCTTTCCTAATAATGTGCTAATTAAGTTTCACGATGAATGCGGCTAAAGTAAACGGTCTCTCTGAGAGCAGCTCGGAAGAGAGGGGCGGCTTGATCCGAAAAGAGCTGTTTTTGACAGGGTAAAAAATGTGTTTTTTACACTACCATTGAGACATTTTAACCAAACTATGTTACAGACTTTTCATTAAGACCCTAAAGAATCATATCAACTTGTGGAAAATGGGCATCCTATGACCCCTTTAAAGAAATGTTTTGTGTGTGTCTCATCAGATTATGACCGATCTCATCCACTCCAAAACCCTCACAAAACAAGAGCCTCCAGCAGCCAGACAAGCATCACCAGAGGAGCTGAGACGCTTTCCATCTCGGATCCATGGTTCGCTTCACTTTCCATGCCGGTCTCAATTTTAATGTGCACTTGTGTGGGCTCTTCGGGAACAGCAGCGGGCTCCGTCGTCATTCGTGGACTCTCAGGTAAGGCAGACGGATCTTCGGTGGCATCTGCCCCCGGCCCCTCGGATGGATGAAAGAGATCCTTAACCACTGCGAGGAGAGAGAGATTTGAGAGTGTGTGCAACAAAAATAGTAATAGTTTAGTTTTCTGTGACCATTTTCCACCCTCTTTTATTTCATGTTGACTTTAAATTGATTTGGGTGCGTTAAGTCTTCACATTACCGCACATGTTGTCCTCGCACACTGGTAGGGTATCTGGACACCTCGAGCATGGCACTCCAGACTCGTATGGTTTTTGTTCCTCAATATTTTCTCTGTAATGAAGGAAAAACGAAGGGTGGATTTGATAGATGGTTTTTATAAATGGATTTACTTTGAAACAACACTCAGCAATTGATAGTAAATGTAATATATAATTCTATTTTTAATCTTTTAATTAACTAGTTATTGTAAATGGAACAAATATTGAAAACAAGCAGCATTGTCATTGCAGCAGAAATATCAGAAATACTTTTTGAAATCGAACACGCTCTGAATATTAACTAATATATAACTTATCTTTTATATTGCACATTATTTCACCTCTGTCTGCTGTTTGGCTGTTCATATTTTGTATACTATGTTATTTACCTTATGTAAAGAGCCTTGGGTATTTGAAAGGCACTATATAAATAACACATTATTATTATTATTATTATTATAACGATAAAAACATTGCCAATCAGTATAAATCCTGCTATAACGAGCCCGAGAATTTAAGGTGGCAGACGAGCGCATGCTTGGAATAAACAGATGATATCATCCGCTGGTGTGGACTCTAATATAGTTATCTTTACAGTTATTGTTCTCGGTGTGAAACCGGTCATGTTATAGTGTTTTAGAGCACATTCTAGAACACTAAGGTCATGTTCAGTCTGGATTATTCGAACGCACTTACTGAGGGTAGTAATTACACACGAAAAGAGTGGCCTTCAGATCCAGATGCTCAAGTTTGTCACAGAAATGCGCAGCACAGCCAATTTCATTGCTGTCTGCCCAGACCATCTGGAACAACAACAGAGAAACGCATCATCATATCTGCATATTCAGACTGTGAAAACCAATCAAACACACTGAACAGAAACAGTGTTCACCTGAGTGTAATGGCCACACATTTTATCTTCAGGGCAGTTATTGGTTTCCAAGTCATAATCCATGTGCTCTCCAAACCTGTGTGTGTGCAAAGAAATGAGTTGCAAATCTGTTAATAGATCATATTTCTGCATATCACAGATCATCAGTATTTATTCTTGAAGTAATTGCTCATTCATTCTTATTTACGTTTAGTTAGGATATTTGTCGTACCAGCTCATCATTGCTTTGGTTGCATTAAATGGTCCAGTGCCTAAAAAGAGATTTTCACCCATTCTGAATTCCTTTAGTTGAGGGTTATGATCCCAGATGCATTTTGCCGCATATGCTTCTGCCAGCAGACCCAGTGTCTCGTCCCACACCTCAAACGACAGAAACAAGTTTGTTGCTATTTGACTTTAAGGTTTTTTTTTCTTTTTTGGACGGCTGAACAATATACAGTATTTATTCAACTTTTAAATAAATTGTTTAAGAGATATTTTGTGTAGGTCAGTCATTGTTGAGTGAATCTTGCATCCAAATAAATAAATGATTATTGAACTATGTTTGAAAACATTATTTAAAAAAAATCTAATAAATTAATTTTGAAGTTCACTGATTATTTCGGAGAGATAATTGTTTTAAAGCCAAGTTTTTTCAGTGTAGAATTATTGTTTGACATTATTGTAATTGTTATAATTGTCAAATTATAATTTACATAATCTAGTTTACATCATTATACATGACATTATACATTATTTTACATAAAAAAGAGCATTAAAATGTAATGCAAACAAAAAGTTATGCTCTCTTTACCATAATGCACAAAAATGAATAAATCAATGAATGGATGGACAAATAAATACATAAATAACAAGCTTTGTTTTCTTTATATGAAACATTTGTTTTTCTATTCATATTTAAATTTGCATTCAAATGCAATGCAAACAAAAAGTAATGTTCTCAGTACCAATAATACATTTATTACAGTATTTATGAAGTACCGTTTGTTGTACTGCCTTTCATTTATGATGGAATAAACAAATAAATAAGCAAGCAAGTGAGCAAGCTTTGTTTTCTTTATGCAAAATAAATGTTTTCTTCTCGTTTTGCAATGAAATATGGCCCACACATGTTGTTTGTGCAATCCACCCCATTGTTGTGTAAATGTAAGTGAACGAAATATGCTTCACAAGAGAGCCAGAGTCTTTCCCACTATGAATCTTCCCATAGTTGTGCTCTGAATTTCACCAACAATACAAACATCAGACCGTAAGACAGGATGACCACATGGGGCTTTATTAAAACACTCACACTCAGCACAACGTTCCTGCGGTTTCATGTAACATACACATTCCTCAGCATGTCTCACACACACACACACACATTGCGCAACAGTATCATTGCATCCACACACCCCCACGCACACCATCCAGTCAAAATCCAGCCACTTCATGGTTTCTGTTCGAAAAGTCCCTCTTAGTCAGATAAAGAACGGTCTCATGCATTATAATACCAGCCTTGTGCTGCTGTGATTCTTGCATTCACATGGTAAAGTTGAGGTCTGTTTCACACAGCAACAATGCTTAAAGGGACAGTTCACCCAAAAATTAAAACTCTGTCATGTACTCACTCTCAAGTTGCTCTAAACCTGTATGAATGTCTTTCAAGATGTTTTGAAGAATGTAACCAGTTTCTGGTCCTCATTGACTTCCATAGAGTTTTTTTTATTTTTCCCATACTATGGAAGTCAGTGGCTACCAGCAACTGTTTGGTTACCAACATTCTTCAAAACATCTTCTTTTGTGTTCAGCAGAAGAAGGCTTGGTACAAATTCAGAGTGAGTAAATGATTGTCAAATGTTCCTTTTTGGGTGAACTGTCCCTTTAAAGGAGACTAGATAGTGAGCGATTTATTACATATTTCATATGGCATTAGTTTTCATTTGGTAAACTATAATCATGATTACAGTATTAGACTCTCTTGTGTTTTGAAAGTAATTGTGCCCATGAACATGCATGATGACTCGATTACCATGGATATTAATGTGCTAATTATTGTTTACAGCAGTAATGAGACCGTGAAGGATGTAATTCCAGTGATTAATGGCAGATGATGAGATGCTCTGACCTCGTAACTCACACGCAACACACAAACATTGAGCTTGAGGCCAAAACCAATGACAAGAACATTAACAGCCCCCATGAGATGGTGTTTTGGGTCAGTGAGATTATTATTATTATTATTTAAAAGAAAATTAATATTTTTATTCAGCAAGGATGCATTAAATTGATCAAAAGTGACAGTAAAGACATTTATACTATGTTGTTGCTCGGGTGTTGCTACAGTAGGTGGTTGCTGGAGTGTTGTGGGTGGTTGCTAGGGGTGTTCTGGATGATTGCTTGGGGGCTGTTACTGTGTTCTGGTTGGATGCTGGGGTATTGCTACAGTGGGTTGATGCTAGGGTGTTCTGGGTGGTTGCCAGGGAGTTGCTATATGGTTGCTAGGGTGTTCTGGATGATTTCTAGGGGGCGGTTACTGTGTTCTGGGTGGTTACTGGGGTGTTGCTACAGTAGATGGTTGTTAGGATGTTCTGGGTGGTTGCCAGGGAGTTGCTATGTGGTTGCTAGTGTGTTCCGATGATTGCTATGGGGCTTCTACTGTGTTCTGTGTCCTGTGGGTGGTTGCTAGGTGGTTGCCAGGGCATTCTGGGTTGTTTTTAGGGTGTTGCTATGGTGTTCTGGGTGCTTGCCAGGGAGTTGCTATGGGGTTGGTTGGTACTGTGTTCTGGGAGATTGCTTTGCAGTTTCTACCATGTTCTGAGTGGCTGTGATGCCATTGCTTTGTTGTTGCTAGGGTGTTCTAAGTGATTGCTATTGGATTGTTAGGTGGTTTCTAGATTGTTGTGGGTGAGTGCCAGGACGATGATCTTCTGGTGTTTGATGGAGGGTTGCTAGGTGGTTTCTGGGGTGTTCTGGGCGGTTACCGTGGAGTTGTGGTTGCTAGGGTGTTCAGGATGATTGGTAGTGGGCTTCTGCTCTATTCTGGGTGGTTGCTATGCTATTGCTGTTTTATTGCTAGGGTGTTCTAAGTGAGAGGTTTCCAGGATGTTCTGGAATGATAATCATTGCCAGGGAGTGGCTAGATGGCTAGGGTGTTCTGGGTGGTTTCTGGCTTGTTGCTAAGTTGTTGCTAGGGTGTTGCTAAGGTGCTTTGATTGGTTGCTAGGGAGTTGCTATGTGGTTGGTTGTCAGGGTGTTCTGGAAGATTGCTGCGTGGTTTCTGGCATGTTCTGGGTGGTTGCCAGGGAGTTGCTGTTTGATAGATAATGTGTTCTGGATGATTGCTAGGGAGCTTCTACTGTGCTCTGGGTGGTTGCTGTGGTGTTTCTAGGTGGTTGTTAGGGTGTTCTGGGTGATGATTTTGAAGGTTTTCTGTATGGTTGTTGAAGTATTGCTATGTGGTTTCAAGGCTGTGCTGGGTGGTTGCTAGGCCATTGCTAAGTTGTTGCTAGGTGTTCTAGGTAATTGCACTGTGGATGTTAGGGTGTCCTAGCTGATTGCTAGGGTATTGCTAGATGGTAGCATGCTAGGGTGTTCGAAGTGATTGCTGAGGTGATGCTAGGGTGGTTTTCAGGGAGTTCCTATGTGGTCACCTGTCAACAACAAACCCTGCAAATTAAGAGAACCTTTGGTGATAATATTTATTAATGAATATTTATCAATGGCATGTAGGCATGCGTCTTTTATTGTTCTTTGAGTGACTGGCATCTACATGTCAGGGAACTCATTTTCACATACCTGCCAGTCTCCTGTATGATTAAATAATGAGTCCCGTGTTAATGAGCTGATTGATTGTGTCTAAACTAAACAAAGTCCTTCTTTTATCAGTTATTAATTTTGGTCGTAATTCACTTGCATGTGGCTCTCCAGTGATCCATTCATGTGGGTTGTACTATAAAGTTTATATTGCTGGTATTAAAAGTCAAGGCTTGATCTTCCTGGTGTTAAACTGGTTTAGTCTCTCTCTGCTATAGGGTGTTGTTCTAGGCATGGACATTTTTGCTGTTCAGATTGTGATTTCCAGCAGCCAGATGTACAGGCATAGCAACGTCAGACTCCAAACACTGCACAGGTGCGCGGCCCACGTCCAGTGACGTGTTGCACCATTGTTAAAAAATGCACCAAAATCCCCTTTTTTCATTTGTTTGAGTTCAGAACCTGTTTTGTATTTTTAAAATAATTTCACTCGTCATTCTGCTTTTGTTTTTTTGTTCATTCTAAATGACAAAAACATAATAAAATCTCATATATATATATATATATAATATGTATTCATAGGACACACTCTAATTACGACATATGCAGTGATGGGTGATTCGTTCAATGGACAGAGATGCTTAGAAATGAGAAAACAAATACAGCTCATCTGAGCAAAACCCCATCTCTG